TGTTACACGACACTGTCTTTCCCGAAAAATATTTACTGTCACACTATTGATATTTTCCTAATTTTTGTCAAACTTATTGCTATTTGGCAAATTACTCATTATCTTTCTTTTTTTTTTATGAAAACTACTTATCCTTTTAATTATTTTTCGTTTCTATCTTATATAGTAGGACGGTAAGAGTTTTTTTTTTTTTTAATAAATCGGATGTTCCAAAAGAGACTATCGTACGTGTAGGATGAATATTATACATATCTGCATTTCTGATTATATATATGCATTATAATATTATGGATCAATGCGCTTTTTGGGTTAGCAAATCTGAATTCTCCTGCCACGGCAAATTATACATTGTTTATGATTAACTAGTGTTTATAAAATCTCCACGTAGATATAACTGACGAGTGTTACAATCTAAACAGAAAGTTTACAGCAATTTATCTTAAATGCTAATTTCTCAACATGCATCTCTTTGCTAAAAGAGTAACACCACTGTAAGTCTGTAACGTGTATATCATCTTATCTATAGTGGATCCGACGTAAAAAAGAGAAATCACCATCGACTAGCTTAGAGGGCATGATTATGAGTGATAAATAAAGGTAAATATAAGAGATTTTTAATATTAGAAAATTTTTATATTTATTCAAACTATTTTTGAGTTTCTAAATATAAAATCTATATTACCCATATTTAGTGGATAAATATAACATTTCTCTCTATCTCTCTCATTTTTTTCTTTCTATTCATCAATTCTAATACAATTAATATTATAAAATTCATATATTACTCTAATCATATTTACTACCTACTCAATTTGGCGATGGTGAATATATTTTTATAAAAAAATCGTAGCTGAATTAATTAATTAATCGTGCTATCCTAATTTGTTTTTTTTCCGCTGTAGCGTAAAGGAAAAAAAAATTGTTTTTTTTCTTTTGGATTTAATAATGTTATGATAACCTAAAACTGATCTAGCTTCAATGTAGGCCTTATATATATAATTAAAAATGGTCTCATATATATGGTGCCTTAATAGTCAAATTAATCCAACCATGCATATACACATATAGGGGATCGTTGAATCTTTAGTGGTAACATGCCTTTGGTCACATAGATCAATCATCACTGAACACCCCTATTCTATATTATCTATAATAATTATATTTTATATCTAATAAATTTGTTGACACGGTTTATGTTTTAAATATTTGCACTACTTATAAATGATGTAAACACATTTTGTATCACTTAAAAAACGATTCTGAAAATGGTGACGAACATTTCTCTTTATATGTAATCGATACAAGAGAACTAACTTCGACTATACCACCACATTTTGGTTTCAATTGCTACCATCATTGATTGTTTTTTCATTCGCACACTAAAACTATATTATATAATAGAAACGATCTCATAATTTACAGAAAATGACCCCAAAATTGAGTTTCTTACGATTCATATTATATATACATATTTAATTTTTTTTTTAATTTTAGATAAAAACAAATTATACATATTTATAGTTACTAGCTATTATATATTTACGTAGCTTGAGGGTTCATCCTAGTCAAAATTTGTCTCATGAGTGCAATGGTATATATAGTTAATAACATTCATGAATGTAAAGATTATGAATTATTTTGTTCAATGGCTCGTTGCGAACCAGGTTAAGAAATATCTAATCGTCGAGGTCGACGTGGCTAAGTAACTTTGATATCTATAAGTCGAGAGACTAAATAAAGTGCAAATTAAATACTAATTTAATTCATTGTATTATATGTCTAGTGGTCTTATATTTATATCTTTTGAGGTTAGAGAAAATCAAACACCATAGATCTGAATCATCCTAACGATACCGAACAAAATAATACTTTTTATTTTTCTTTGTATAATTGATTAACTCCCTCTCTATCATTGGTGTTATATAACTTATATATTCGTATAAAACATACGTCCACGTATTCGTAGAGTGATTTATAATTTAATAAGAAAAAAACATTATCCTTAATTAGGTTCAGAGTCAAAATAGAAAGAAAGGACAACGTCAATTATTTTCATGCATGAGATATTTTCATGAATGAGATATCCAGCTCGAGAAAAATAATTTTTTGTTGTTGAATCTTGGACCGACAAATGTAGTGATTTTGCTTTACCCTAACAATACAATACCTTTGTTCAAAAAAAAAACAATACAATACCTATTAAACAAATGGATTTTTTTTTGGTGAATAACCAAAAAAAAATTAAAAAATTAAGAAAAATTGGGTATGTGGCAATTTTTAGACCATTAGATTTAGAGTTTTTTGTTAGTTTTCAAATTATAATTTTTGTTGTTGTATTTTTGGTAAATTTTCCCTTAAACAAATCATAATACTCGAAACTAAAATTATTGATATAAGAGATAATCTTCGTTTTATCAACTACTATGACTAAAATAATTAGTGTGTCTTTAAAAGTACTCATCCAACCAAGATGCAGCTTGATGATAATTATGTTAATTAAAAACACGTGTATTAACTGTTAAGCTGAGCAACATAAATATCTTCCTTTTCTAACAAAAAAGACATAAATATCTTCTAAGCTGTAGTACAGATCATATTTGATCATATCTCAATTAATAACCAAGTACGGTAATACTATCATATTAAAAAAAAGGTTCTTACCTTCCATAGTTATGATAAGTTGTAGTGGAAAGTAAGCGCGGATTGGATATCCAGAAAAATACAATATTTGTGATTCGATTTGTTTTAGATGGATATTTAATTTTTTTATTTGTTTTGCTTTGTAAAATTTTGGATATCCGGGATTACGGATATCCAGATTTTTTAGGATATTTACGGATATCCAGATCTTCACGGATATCTGTTTTAAACAAAAATAAATAAATTTTTCTCAAAAAAAAAAAATTAAAACACCATTATCTTTTTTTCA